AATATTTCTTATTTTCTGATTATTCCTTTTCATAGAGCATCCGGTTCTTATTTTATGAATGCTTTGCCTTCTTAAATTTCTCTAAATATATTTGTAGTTCTCTTTGTGCCCTGAATTGTGTCTGTCTCCTCCAATGTCAGTTTTTCTAGTGGTTTATCTTGGTCTTTTGTATGCTGCTGGTTCTGCCCATATGCATGGTAATTGTGATGGTTAAGGTTGTGTATCAACTTGGCTGGGCCATGATTCTCAGTGGTTTGGCAGTTATGATATAGTTTGGCAGCTATGTAAATGATATAATCACCTCCATAATGAGATCTGATATAATGTAATCACCTCCATGATGAGATCTGCTATGAGCAGGCAATCGGTTGAAAGGGAATTTCTTTGGAGGTTTGGCCTGCATCCAATATACGTGGACTTTCTGGCCAAGCTCGATAGCTTTTGCTCACTCTGGATCCTGCAGCTGGCTCCTTTCATCTGACCTCTAGTTCTTGGGACTTCAGCCTGAAGCTTACCTGCTGATCTTGGGATTCGTCAGCCTCCACAGCCTGTGAGCCAGAGGCCTGCTGTCTGACCTGCAGATCTTGGGTTCACCAGCCCCTGCAGCTATGTGAGTCAAGAGAAGCCTCCAGCCTGACCCATGGACTTGGGACACTCCAGCATCTACAGCCATGTGAGCTATTTCCTTAATATAAATCTCTCTCTCTATATATATTTATACACTTCATTGGTTTTGCTTCTGTAGAGAACCCAGCCTAAGATAGTAATCATTGGTAATATTAAATAAAGAACTACTGAGGTGTCCTGGATTTCCTTTGCTGGTGTGTAAATTGTACTGTTTTTCTTCTAGGTTTCTCTCTCAGTGGAAAATTCTACCTACAAACTCTTTGTGGATCAGGACGGGGCATGCCAACTGAAAGGCTTCAATTTGGGTGGAGGAGAACTGATGGTAAACTGTCAGACTGTGGGCTACACCAAATGCAAAAATAAAGAACATTTATTTAGAACTATCAACAACAACCGACATTTATACTAGAAACCTGGGCTTCCCTCAGACAGTTGGTCCAATTTCTTTGAAGACAAGATGTCTGATGCTTTGTCTGAGGTTAAATGCCTGCTGGGCAAGGAAGGGATGTGGGATCACCAGTTGGTGCTGTTGTCCCATCTTGTAGACCTTCATTCTACTCCTAAGTCTCAGTTCTACTTCTCCCACTTAGCCTGCTGACCAAGGAAATTGCCTCTTCTTAGCAGCCCCGCTTGGGATATTCCAGGCTTGGTTGAGACACCCAATCCTATCTTTACTCTTTTATTTCTTATTGTATTTGATACCTTTATTTCAATGGGATCTGAGGAGGGATTAGTGACAAAGGAGCCTACCTGGTCCTGAATCAGATATCCTGTTTTATTTTCTAATTCTTCCACACATCCAATGCCCAGATTGAAAGGGGCACATGGTAATGGCTCATTCATCAAGCTCAGTGGAAGTCTAAGGACTATTTACTGAATATCAGGGTCATGTCTCAAACACAGGAGCTTGTGTGTTTATCTCTGGCCTCTAGGGTCTTGGCCTCAGAGCTGAAGAGAGAGCTGGTAAACTGAGGAAGGAGGCTGTCTTAGTTATCTAGGGCTGCTATAACAGAAGTACCACAAGTGGATGGTTTCAACAAACAGGTTTATTCTTTCACTTCCTAGTAGGCTAGAAGTCCAAATTCAGGGTGTCAGCTCCAGGGGAAGGCTTTCTCTCTCTCTTGTCTCTGGAGGAAGGTCTTTGTCATCAATCTTCCCCTGGACTGGGAGCTTCTCCACGCAGGAACCCCAGGTCCAAAGGACGCACTCTGCTCCTGGTGCTGCTTTCTTGGTGGTATGAGGTCCCCCTGTTTCTCTGCTTGTTTCTCTCTTTTATATCTCAAAAGGGATTTACTCGAGATACAATCTAATTTTGTAGATTGAGCCCTGCCTCATTAAATAACTGCCTCTAATCCTGCCTCATTAACATCAAAGAGGTAGGATTTACAACACATACGAAAATCACATCTGATGACAAAAAGGTGGACAATTACACAATGCTGGGGATCACAGCCTAGCCAAGGTGACACACATTTTGGGGGGACACAATTCAATCCATAACAAAGGCTGAGTTCCATCAAGAAAGAAAAGCATTGCCCTTGTGTGGGTCAGGCTTTTCCAGCTGGGGAGTTGTCTGGTCACCTGAAGGAAAAGAGTTTATGGCAGGATAGACACTCATGGTTGAAAAATCAAGACCTTTTGCAGTCCCAGTCCTCATGGGAAGCCAGAGTCAGCATCCCTCAGGGTTGTACACAAGCTCTCCTCTGCTTTTCTTCAGTTCTTTACTAGGCTCAGACAATAGTCTCTGGTACCAGCTTGCATCTCACTCTTCTTCCTTTGCTTTCTTCTAATTCTTTTCCAATAACCTCTGTAAATCTTACCACCCCATCATCTCTTTCTTCATTTCATTTATATGCACCCAGATAGCGCTAACCATAGCTGGTAAGCACAGAATCATGCTAGGGAAACGCTTGTATCAAGGGAAAAGTCAAAGTCACAAGCTAGAAGTAAAATAACATTTAAGTCAGTACCATTAAGCTATATATCCTGAAGATGACCAGAACTTCTCCTGGGTTTTCCACCAAAGTCTCTTGTGCTTCTTTCTCCTCCATGTATTAAATATCAACCAGTAGAATTCCAAATAAAGTATTCATCCATTCATTATCTATTTGTTCAAGAAATATGTATTAACTGCTTTTAAATTGAAAAAAAAAAAAAAAAGTATTGAATACTCCCTGCTTGCCAGACATAGAGCTAGGCACTGAGCATAAACAGAGGCAAAGAAAACATATGTGGTCCCTGTCCTCTTGGAGCTTTCAGTTTACTGAGCATCTAATAGGTTGAAAGCACTGCTACGGATTGAGAACTGAAACCATCTACCCTCACACAGCTTACTGTCTACTTTTCCACTACTATTCCACTGTCTCATTGGCATAACTCTTGCCCATGAAGATGAACACTGAAATTAACTATTGCTTATGCCAGGCACTTCCTAAAGATCCATCAGCTCTTCAATAGAAAGCATCAGCTGACAGTCTGCACCCTGTCTTAGTTACCTAGTGCTGCCATAACAAATATACCACAACTGGGTAGCTTTAAAGAGTAGAAATTTATTTTCTCACAGTTCTGGAGGCTACAAGTCCGAATTCAAACCGTGGTTCTAGGGGGCAGTCTTTCCTTGCTGGTAGCCCTGGGAGTCCCTTGGTGGTCCTTGACTTGTAGACTATTCTCACATAGTGTCTATCTCCCCTCTGTGTCTATTCTGTTCTTTTTATAAGATATCACTCAGAAGTGAATAGGTTTAGGACCCACCCTATCTGGTATGACCTCATTAACTTAACACAAGAAAACCCCTAATTAACATTTCAACACATATTTTGGGGGGACATAATTCAATCCATAAGGCACCCTAAAACTGTTTGAACCCCTCGCTCAAAATTCTCACTTTATTGTGTTCATCTTAAACTATTCTACCATGACCGTTACCCAGTCCTAATCACCCCCTGCCCTTGCCCCAGCATTGAAAGACCCACCTTAAACTAGACTTCAAACTCTCGGTAAATATCATGGCCTCACCCTTCTCCCTATGAGACATTATCAGATTCCATCAGGGGTGAGCAATAAACTCAGCTTTGTCTTATCAACAGGCTATTCTAGTGATATTTGGGGACTCAGCATTTGACAAGGTGCTGGGGATATGATGAGTAATGTTCTCCTAGCGTTTCCATTCTAGAGACAGACAACGAGGCACATAAACCAGGAAATACATAATATTTTACAACGTAGTTAGGGAGACAAACAATACACAAATAGCCAAATATATCATTACAGATTGTGATAATTAAGAAAGAAATAAAGGGTACCAGGATAGAGAATGAGGGGTCTTTTCTACTTAACAAAGAGGACCTAAAACACTCTCTCTGAAGTGACTTAAGCTGGAGGTGACGGTGGTTAGAGCGTCCCAAGTAAGGGGAATACAGGTATCAAGACCCTGAAGGGAGAAAGTAGTTCAGCAGATTCCAGAAACAGGAAGTCAGCAACAGCAGAGCGGAGAGAGAGTGAGGAGAGGACAGGACTGAGCACAGGGTCACAGGTAAGAGGCTCTCAACCTGCTTTCCTTATTCAGTACCATTGCTTTACCCTTTTGTTTAATTATTACTCTTGGAACAGAATTATCTTCTAATAGTTTTCACTGCAAACGTGCAGAAGTGAACGTTACACGTTAAATGAACTTCTGAGGGTCTTAACTGTTTACAAAACTATGTTTATGGCAAAAAAAAAAACAAGGGTCCAGCTCTTACCAGTTTCATTTATGGACCACTTGAGCTCCCTTGCACCCTATTACTAGCTGAAGTGGCCCCAGTGTTTCCAGAGAAGTGCATTCTGGGAATACACTGCCTGAGGATACCGTGGGAGTCTAACCCGCAGGCTGCGCTCTAGCTCAGGGCACTGAAGTTTAAATCAAGAACTCATTGGTTTGTGGAAAAAGATGAAAACACATGACCCACATGCTCTTTTCTAGTTACTTCCAGGAAAGTTTTCTTCTTGAGATGCAGCTGATGAAATGCAAATGTTTCCAAAGCTGACCAAGAAGATGATGCCTTGGCCCCAACCATGTTGATGGAGCCACAACACAGTGGTGGGTTAGTTTGGCCTGGACGCTAAATAAACTACCCGGCTTGGGGAGGGCAAATCTGCAGCAGAAGACGGCTCTCCCAGCCCAGCGCGCTGCAGCCTGGCCTGGGTCGAGTTCATGCTCATTTCTGCTCTCCTCCCTCCCTTCTGCATGAACTCCCATCGGATGTGCACACTCCCATCTCTCTGGGTTCACACTCACACAAACATCCGCCCCTTTTGTACACGCCCGCCCCTGTTGTATACGCCCGGGCAGCTGGGGGCCTCTTCCCCGGGTCTAGCTGTTTTATGCTCTCAAGCTTGGAGCACGCCCTCCTCCCAGGCCCCGAGTTCATCTCACACTCGGTGTCCGGCTTCCTGTCCTCGGCCCTCTCCCGCCCAGATTCCCTGGCCCCTCCCTCTCCCAGCTGGACCGCCCGCCCTCCCCGATCCCTCGGGTCCCGGGATGGGGGGGCGGTGAGGCAGGCACAGCCCCCCGCCCC